GGCGTTGCCTTCGCCGCTTAGCATTACACCATTTTATATTTGGTTTGAACTATAAATATTATCGAGCGCTTCACTTTTACCCCTAGCTAAATCTATATATCATTCAATTAATTCAGCTCTGTCTTGGAAAAAGACAGTCCGTTCTTGATATCGACCAGCTGTGCGGCAGCGGACTGATAATTTTTAAACGATGAGGCTCCGCCCCGAGGTCAAACGCCTTAACCTTTCATTACGACATATACTATTTTTGACAGAAAAGGTACCCCTTTCGTATACCCTTCTACTGACAAATGGTACCCTTTTCACATAGCTAGTTTAGGACGCTACATTGCTTTGAACTGCTGCAAATGTACTGTCCTTAAAGGAACAGATTCACGGTTCAGCGCATGCTCATTTATCAAAATGCTGTTTTTCTGCCGGGACATGCTGTATCGTCTATGCAAGCAATATGATCATGTCATTTTTTTGTCAAAGAACCAATCTACACTCTCCCCTGGTAGTCACTTGCACTTGATCAACTTAAGTATTTGCAAATAGCTGCAAATTAATCAGCCATGGAATAAAACAATCGGGTCAACAATAAATTCAACGTTGTTAGTGTTGGCATAATCCACTATTTTTTTTCGGCGATTTTAGTACTCCTCCATCCTACTTCAGGCTCCTCTGAATACAATTCCGCACCGGAACATGTAGTTTGCTCGGGCGGGTCGTGTCTTTCTCAAGTGAACAATAGCCGTCGAGCAAATGTATTTCCAGCAGGAGTGGCTAACTTCGGTAAAGCTGTGTATCAGTCCCTAGAAAGGTCAACCCAGGACACCCGGGATGGATTTGTATTTGTACAGTGCCCAGGCCTCATTTTCTTGGCCGCGCGTTGATCTGGCCCGGCTACTTCGGCGAGCATATTCTCGGCCTTTTTGGATTACATCCTTCGAGTTTGTCAAAGTCTGCGGGATTCGCTTTTCTATCTGGGAAAGCTTTGTTGGTTTCTATATCTGCTGCTACCCTATTATCACAATCCTGGCATGTTTATTTTCTGTCGTAGTTCGGATTTCGTGGAAAAAGTTGCAGTTGAATGAGGGCATGGCGGCGAAGATGACATCTCGTGTCTCCTACCTTGTATATTATTATTGTATATACAGTGAATTTGAACAAATTATCACGAAACTTCGTTGGAGCATTAAGGACAACAACAACTAACTGCAGAGTAAGTTTCATTGATCTTTATTTAGTATTTCGTAGAAATTTTAGGATCGTACTTTTACCCCATACAAACACCGTAATTTTACTGAAACCGTACTGTGGTACTATCACAGAGCCAGGGTTACCTGTGATGTTACAATTTTAACGAAAATTACAAAAACTACAAATTTCGCGTTTTTTCGCGATTTTGTCACAACTGTTCTCCCTTTGTTATAAAGCATTTGCTTGTTTTACCTAGTTATTTCTTTACTCACAATCCACAATGATACCCCTATAAGTAAAGATATCACATTGGTTTCAGTCATGCTCAATCCTAAGCGAGACAACGAATATTCCATCGTTTTCATTTGGGAGTCACCCCCTTCCCGGGGCTCCCAACAGATGTTCTTTGAACCGTGTGCCTAAACGGTATATGCGTTTTTGTGGTTTGTTTTTGGGTATGGTATTTCATTGCATGATACCAAGAGACTGGACTGCTTGAAATTAATTCTAAACTTTTATGGACAAATTTTGTTTCTTCACCATGCTATCTTCATAAGCACGAATGAAATTGCGCAGCATTTAAGAGTTAAAATGGGTCTGCATGGGGGTGTTGGAATCGCCGTTGGTTTTCCTCACCCGTATCAATAATTTTTTTGATCAAGTCTCAGCACTCAGTTAAAAATCCCTCTTTTCTCTGCTGACAGTAAAAATGTTGACGAATTCGCAGCTATCAGTTTATCAGTCCTTCACTGGGCCCCTTGTAAAAGGTCTTATTCATAGAACAGAGTCTTTTTTTACTCAAAATGAAACTCGTTACAAAATTTGACCAACTTACATTCGCGCCGCTATGTTATTACAGTTCCTACGTAGGGCTCTTTATTTGAGTCTAGTAATTTAGCAGACAAGAGAGAAAAGGTACAAACCAAATTGAGCTGTTCTCAGTGGCTTGCAAAAGAGAGTTTGGTATCGTCTGTTACCCGATACTTAGCCAATTTGCTCTATAGAAAAGAATAGTAAATCTTGGATATGGCCTACAATACCTGACGGCGTTCATGCGCTAAACTCGCTTAGCAGCACTTTAGCATCTTGCGAAAAGCGTTTCTGAATTCCTCATTTCTCCATCCATAGGTAAGAGGATTGCATGCAGCGTTCAAAAGCATGGCCACCTTATAAACGATATGCTGCAGTAACTTTTGATGGTGGCCTGCGAGTAATGTGCTCCAGAAAACTCGGAGGGATGTCACAACAAGGATAGGAATGATACTGAGCAGACACAGCGCCACAACAATGGCGAGAGTTCGGGCGCCTTTCATTTCGTGCTTGATAGTTGGCATTCCTGGAAAGTCGCGGCCCTGTTTTCTGACACGTTGTCTCTGCTTGTGGGACACTATGAAGATGTAGGTGTACGAGCATATCATGATCAACAGGGGAACAAGAAACATTGACGCAGCTGTCAATACAAGATGCCATCTGATGTGAAGCTCTTTGGCTTTATCATTATCTGGATGCATCTCTATGTGAAATTCTCTGTAATCTTTGTGGCCTGTTGTCCCATAAAGCGTCCATGGAAGAGCAATAACAATGACCAGAGCCCACAGCCACACCGCGATGGAAACGATCCGTGCTCGGCGTTTGGTTACTATGGTGTGGTATCTTAAGGCGAACTTGATGGCGATGAAACGTTCTGAACTCATTAAGCTGAAATGAAGAACAATGACCGAAAGGAGGAACAAGGTGACAGTTCCGCTTACTTCTTTTAAATTACAAAAAAGTGAACGATTTCCAACATTATACAAAATGATATCAAGAATCAAAGGAATCGCTATTAAGCCGTCGGCGATAGACAAACTCACCAAAATGTTGTTGGAAGCAGTTCGCAAGTTGCGAAATTTGTGAAACGCTCTTAGCACGAAATAGCTGCCGAGGACGGCAGCGACTGTGATAATCCCACAAACGTTCAACTTTAGAATAAATATCCAATTCTGTGAGGCATCGCCCGGCGAGCAATTCTTCGGCATTGCGGGAGGAAAATTGTGCCACCTATGTTATCTATCGTTTTCGGAACACTTACTCATACCACTGTTGTTCCGTTTCGTATCATAATCAAACTATATAAATATTCAGCCATGGCCAGGTGAACCCAACTCTGTATATGATCAAAGGATATTAGATAACGATAACTACTACTGATGATGTTCCTTTTGTTTTAATAGCGTCAAAACAAAATACCCCGCAACTGCAATAAAAGTAGAATTAAACCATTTCTATTAACCAAAAACCAAATAAACATGCTTGTCCATATAATATACAGGTTAACGTTGGGTAACTGTCTTAATTACTGCTTTCTACAACGTCAAACTCTAAATGTCCTCGCTAATTCATTGAGAATCCATTAAGAAAGTAAATAAGATGTCAAAATTGCATAGTATAGAGTTGAGCAAATAAAACTAGTTATCACGCAGTGTTCTTAATTTATACTAAACATCTGACTGCGTTCAACGGTGAATTGAATTTGTACAGAGTCATCTTATAATTCATAAAAAAGAACCTTATATTTGGCCTAGAAAGAAAAACAAAACAACTGTGGCACTCTTAATAAAAATTAGTTGTAACAGCAGGCTTTGAAAGTTTCATAAACTAGTAAGTGCGTCTTACTGAGTTTAAAATACAAGGAACAGCCGAACATGTACGAAGTGCGAGCTTTTTAGCAGGTCTAAAAACGTCTCCTAAATACTCCTTTGAATTAATATTATTATTACTGATTATTACAAAATAATAATTATTATTATTATTAATATTATTATTGTTTTTATTATTATTGTTATTATTATTATTGTTATTGTTATTATTATTATTATTATTATTATTATTATTATAAATCTTATCATTATTATTATTATCATTATTATTATTATTTAAGAGACTATCAAGTCAGTTATTAATATCAACATCGGAACCGGCTTCACGCATAAAAAATGCATGGGTCCTGTTTCTTTGCGACTGTGGATAAGTTTCGGCTTAAAATAGCCGTTTTAAATTCTAATATGCACTCTCAGCTGTCAGCTGAACAGAAATTGTTTTTGTTCAAGGAAGTAGACAGACTGGCTCGACACCTTCCTTTTTGAGCCATTAATCAAGCGACTAGGAAACGTCAGTTTTCATTTCTAACTTTATGATGCTGTGTTATTAAAAATTAATTGACACGCGTAAACCATTATGTAGCAAAATAATGAATTCGAAAGGAGAAATAAATTGAATTCATAGTTGCTGGCGACAGTTATAAGAAATTAAACTTATTAAAGAGCGGCAGACGTTTGGAGCGGAATAGAGACAATAAAGAACGTCCATATTTCTACAGGTGTTCATGTAAAGAAAAGAGGCGACCAAACAGGAAAAATTCGCAAACACCCAAATATGGTTGCAAAACTTACTTTGCCACTTTTCTTTTTCGAATTTCAGAACCCACAGGCAGTTCGTTTAATAAGGATATTTTACAGAGACTTCATACAAAAATAGGACTCTTCGATCACTCAGCGGCGATCTGTTTGAAGCGTACAGAAGGTGCTTAAAATTAGTATATCATTCTGCGTAACTGGAAAAGTGTTTATTTCCCGTTTGAGGAATTAGGTGACCGCATACTATTAGAGTCGTGTTTCTTTTCCCGCGGGATTCGGGTAGGTATCGTCCTGGATGCCATATGATTTCACGGTTTGGACGAAATCTTGGACTGGCTGCCTGGCTCATTCGACCTCGATCTCATGTGATAGTTCTTCTCGGTCGAGAACTGGTATCTATTTTGTGCCTCGCTCGTTTACCGCAGATAATTTTTGTTTTACTGTATCCTGGGGAGCTGTATCAATACCGTTTTTTCCTTACAGTTTTTGGTATTCGTTTTTATTTATTTATTTACTAAGTTTCTTTTCTAGGAAAAGAAAGATAATCCGATGATTAGATTTTGTGTTAACAATGTGTTCGGCACACTGTATTTGCTGATATGGATAAGAGCTCCATCAACTTAGATCGACCATCACCTCTTTTGTAAATAACATCACTTCTTTTTGAAAAACTGCATGCAGTCTGGCATAAGTTCTGAGAAATTTTTTGTAGTTCGTCTTTATCTTACTTCCACATTGTACTGAATAGAACGCTCCTTATCATTGCCCAAAAGTTTCCTTAACCTTGAGATTTAGTTTATAAAAACCGAGATGAATTTTAGCCGGATTTTCGAGTAAAAGCATTTTATTTAAGACCCGGGGATAAACTTGGGTCAACTTTTGCTGGGTATGTGCCGCTTGCTTCTCAGAACTTCTAGTCCATTATAGTTTATTTTGTGGCAAACGATGGACTCATCCTAGTCACTTTTGGATAAATTGGATCAATGTAAATTTCGCATGGATATAATGAAAGCTGATCATGCATGTGTTAACTCAGTGTTTAAAAAAAGGCATTAAATATGTCGCAGCAGTTTTTTTTTTCTTCCCATTTTTCTTCCCAAAATCCCTATTGCCAGAACTTGCTCCTAAAGTCTGGAAAATGTTCGACCCCATTCGAGTAATTTTTTTTCTGGTGGCAAATTCTCCATTTAAAACACCAGGCTCTTTAATCCCAGCTTCCGACGGTGCACAACTTCGCGTTTTAAGAGCACTTCAGCAGTTTCCGTTCTGAATTTTTCATTTCTCCATCCGTAGACAAGAGGATTACAGATGGTGTTTAAGCCTGTTGCTAAGTCAAAAACAATAAACTTAATTAACTTTCTCTTTGGGTCGCAACGTTCGGGAAGTTCGCCGAAAAAGCGAAGGCCTGTCATGATTATCAGTGGGACGATACTGAGAAGGCGGACAGCTACAACAATAGCAAGAGTACTGGCGCCTTTCATTTCGTGCTTGATGGCGGTAGCCATTCCTGGAATGTTGTTTTGTCCTCTTATATTTTTCCTTTGTTTGTAGGAGACGATAAAGATGTAGCCATATGAACACAAAATGATTACCAAGGGGATGACTAGCAAAAACATTACTAGAAAGATGAGAAGCCCTTTCATTAACGGATTAAGATCGTGATCCAAAGGATCTTCAGGGTTTTTACAGTGTGGATCCATCGCTTGGCGAAACCGTTCAATGTCTCCACTGTTTGCTACAAGTGTCGTTGCAAAAGTTATCGTAACCGTAACGGTCGCGGCAAAAGACCACATCGCCAAGGCAACGATCAATGCTCGAGGATTGGTCACTATGGTGTGGTATCTTAAGGCGAACTTCACGGCGATTAAACGTTCTACGCTTATCAACGCGAGGTGAAGAATTATGACGGAGATGAGAAAGAAGCTGGATGTTGAGGTTATTTTTCCAAGAGGACCGGAGCTACACTCAGCATCAGAGTCGTTTAACAGTCTAAGACTCATTTGCACGATGCCGAAAATCAAAGGAATCGCCAGTAAACCGTCAGCGGTTGACAAACTCACCAGAATAACGTTGGAAGCAGTTCGAAGACTATAAAATTTGTGAAACGCTCTAATCACAAAATAGCGACCGAAGACTGCGGCGACAGTCAAGATGAGATGAATACTCATAACGGAAATGATAATTACTTTTTCCTTTGCCAGGCTGAGGCTTTGAGCAGGGCAATGCGTTTCGTTTAGTCCGAATTTTTCCTGGTTAAAAGACAAATTGCTGGCCATGATGTGTTTTCAGACTTCAAAACTGGTTACAATTACTATAGCCCAGCAGATCGTGCGATGTGTTTTTCCTTTCTAAATTATGCTCGGCTGACTTTTATTTGAATCGTAATAGGTTTAAGAACTGTCAACTGTGTGCAAAAGGGCAGAATAAACACGCGGCCCATAAAATCCAAACAACAACAAAATGAAAACTATTCTTCTACTCGTAGTTAAACAAGTTAGTGGTTAGTTCGATACACTTTTTAAAATTTTTTCCCGCTTTCTTGCACGCTGCCTCTCCTTTTTAACACAGACAAAAACCAACTGGCCGGACTTGCTTGCGCTTAACACAAGATCGTCTAATTTTATTGGACAAGGTTTGCTTCACTGTTTGACATGTCAATCAAAAGGATGAGAAGAAAACGACTTTCTTAAAAGCATTGAGAGTTCGAAGTAGTAATTTTGCCGTAGACTACCTTTTAATCTCGCAAGAATTAAATTTCGCTATTTTCGCGATTTTTCCTAATACTCGCGAAGATTAAAATCGCGAAATTTAATACCAGACATATACATACGCATAAAATAACGAAATTCAAGATGTTGCTTTATTAGTTATCCCAATTAGTTTATCAGAGTGTAGATATTTACTATGTAACTATTTATTTTGTGGGTACTTAGTTAGACTATTGAAAACCTCATGCTTTGTTATGTTTAGCTGGTTGACGTTTTCTTCATAATTGTCTTTTTTTTTTGTTGTTTACGATAATTGCTTATTCTGCTGTTACTGTTCTGAGGTTAAAGTTGCCTTTACATATTAAAGAACAGAAAAATCGCGAAATTAAATACTCGCGAAATACGGCTCATAATTTTTCGCGACATTAAGTGAGAATAAAGTAGGTAAACGTGACAGGGACGTTAATCGAGCTTGAAGTCTTTGTAGCAAAAACTTATTTATTTTGCTCTAAAAGCGTAATGTCAAAATCCTTGCGCTTTGAAATACCTATTGCCAAGGCTATTGCACTTTGCAAAAAAACGGAAGTAACGGAGAACTTAGACTTTAGACTCGCCTTGGATACATGGCTGTGGGGGGCGCATTTTTTAAGTCGGAGAGGCCGGCATGTCAATGCAAGGGGACCAAACATGGCTAATAACATTTCGGCCGTTATTTTTTTTTTTCACTTATGTCTTTAAACTTGACTGATGAAGACTACCAGTAGTCTCTTATTTATCCATTAGAGTTACTAAGTTAGTGGGGTGGCACACTTCATAAGCGAGAAGCGCGCGTGACAAGTTTCTTTCCTCACCTGTTTTGCTCGAAGAATCAAGAAAAAAAGGGTTTTCTCGTAATGTAAATTGACATCACTCTATCGCTATTTTCTTTCCTTCTTTTTAGGCACTGCCATTTTTTCTGGATCTACAGTACAGTATAATATCAATTTCCTTTGCACCTGAAACGAACAGTTACTGGTAGATAGAACCCAACAAAGTCTACAAGGTTGAGAGCCTTGTACACTGTGTGCGCGCATTTCACGGAAAGCACCAGAAAAGTTCAGGAATTTTAAAGCTTACACCAAGAACTAAGACAAAAGGTCGATCACTGCTTAACTGTATTTTCACCTTCAAATAAATCAAAGCTACTGGTCGCAACGCACATCTCTTACCATTGCAATTAAACGACGTCTTTGGTTAATTAAGTGGGAACTTATGAAAAAAAAGCGGGGTTGATTCTTTCCTTAAATGTTGCTAAGCTTCTCACTAAGGACATCTAAAAAAACGTACATAGGGCAACTGATGTATGTTCAATAGCTCGCAAACTTGTTGGGCACCCGACGTTCTAAACAACGTCCCACGCAAGAAAAGATCCGAAGGAGGATGAAGGGGAGAATGAGTAAACGCCTTAACTTCGTTTACATATCTTTATTTAACCAGTTATAAGTTAAAAACGTTGGTCTAGAGCCGTGGTAAATTTGAACAATATTTATGCAGTGGTAAAATGCTACTCACAAAAGGCTAAGCCTACAATAATTGTAAAGAAATTATAACTACAACAAAGTACTAATGAATGATTTGTACGTTATATGAAGAAAGGTCATTATAACTACTAGGGCAGTGGCGGATCCAGGTTCCGCTTTACCTGATAGTCTGAATGCGCCACTTACAAAGAGCTTTTTCCCTGCTGAGGATGTTACATTTCGCGAACTCTCACAACTTAAGTCTGGAAATACTCAGATTAGATTATTGGCAAATTTCTAAGATTAGAGGGGCGAACATTAAATGTATTAGTAAAATACATAGAATTTGAAATAACCATTGATTAGGTTTTACACTAAAGATTTCTTTTTTACCCGTCATATGGATTGATTGATTTATCTCTTTTCTATTTCTTATTGCTATTTAACACCCAGTCCAGAACAAAAACCTCATAAGACGCGACACTTGCCTTGCAAGGTCCCAGAAACTATAATGCACTTGCAAACGGATTCAGAGCATTTCCAAAATATACTGCTGAGTATTAAGAAGGCAAAGTCGACCGGCAAGGTACCCAAAATAATTAAAAATATTTTTAATATAATAGATATCGGAAGTCCTACTCAATGACTTCCCAACAATGATTTCCCAACATAACCCGACGTTGTTCCGAAGTTTCCAAAGTTTTTTGAACATTTGTAAAGTTTTATCACGCGCGTATGTTTTGATTAAGATTAAGAAGTTATCATAGTAAGGATGTTTTCAACTTTTTGGAGCTGTCACCATCCAGGTTGTCTAAAATAATGAATTCTCAAATAATATGTTAAGGTGTTGTTATGCCAGACAAGGGCTTTCCAGATTGGTCTCGTCCATCTTTATGGTCAATACTCGTATGATCCCTCATGTTGTGCCAAGGTTGATATACCGAATGGGAACTAACCAGATTGGCCAAGAAGGTCATTTAAATCCTGCTAAAATACTACACCAGATGAAAACTATCTAGATTGGCCCCTCCTGAATTTACCCCTTCCTCTGATGGTTCGCAATACTTTTGGCCCCAAAAAAGTGTAATAATAATAATAATAATAATCAAAAGGTTGAGTTTGATCGTCCGGGTGAACGTAGTCCTGAATAGGACTGTTGTTGTTGACAGTGACTGACGTTTCGACAACCTGTGCGGTAGTCATCTTCAGAGTCAAAGTGAGTTGTATCACGTCAGTTGATGGTATTATACTCGGGTTATTGATCTGATTGGTCAATTATGTCGCGATGTTATTGGTCGTCTGTCAGTTAAGCCGTGATGTTATTGGCTATGAAGACTCGTAATCAGTGATTGGTGCGTTTCGATCCGTCTATTGTCGCAGTTGAACAGTCGTCTATTGTTAGTCAAATTGTTAGTTCTCCAGTTGTTCTCTCGTAGTTAGTTTTGCTTGATCTCGTCAATAAGTCGTTTGTACGGCGCTGGTAACTGTTGACTACGATTCAGTGGCGTTTGTTCTAAGTTAGTAAACCAGCTTTCTAAAGTAAGACGTTGATAGAGTCCCAGTTAATTTGATGTTTCGTCTTTAAATGGTGCTCAGCAATGTGATTGTTGACGTCACCATTCCTCGTCGCGCGTTTGTGTTCGGTCAGTCGCGTGCTTAGGTTTCTGCCGGTTTCACCAATGTAAGAAGCCTGGCAGTCGCAGCATTTGATCTTGTATACTACTCCCTGTCTGTCGCCGTAAAGTGGTTATCAGTTCCCAGCGCCGTACAAACGACTTATTGACGAGATCAAGCAAAAATAACTACGAGAGAACAACTGGAGAACTAACAATTTGACTAACAATAGACGACTGTTTAACTGCGACAATAGACGGATCGAAACGCACCAATCACTGATTACGAGTCTTTATAGCCAATAACATCTCGGCTTAACTGACAGACGACCAATAACATCGCGACATAATTGACCAGTCAGATCAATAACCCGAGTATAATACCATCAACTGACGTGATACAACTCACTTTGACTCTGAAGATGACTACCGCACAGGTTGTCGAAACGTCAGTCACTGTCAACAACAACAGTCCTATTCAGGGCTACGTTCACCCGGAAGATCAAACTCAACCTTTTGAAATGACTCCTGGGTTCAAACCTTTCACAATAATAATAATAATAATAATAATAATAATAATAATTTATTCATTTATAGTGCGCTTTTTAACATGCTAGGTGATCAAAAGCGCGAAGGTGTTGTACCAAATAGGGGCTATCCGGATTGGCCCCTCCAGAACACATCTCTCCATCGTCATGGTCAACACTCTTGGTCCAAAAAAGTGTGCTAATGTGTTATCCAAACAGGGGCTAACCAGATTGGCCCTTTCAGAATATACCCATCCATCGTCATAGCCAATAAGCTTTGTCCAAATTAGTGCGCTAGGGTGTTATACAAAAAAGGGACTATCCAGATTGGCCCTTCCAGAACATACCCCTCGATCGTTATGGTCAATACTCTTGGTCCTCATTAGATGCCCTACCTCTCTGTTCACCAGTATTTCATCTCCTCGACTAACAACAACAACAACCAATCGTTAGAGGGAAGGAATATCTCCGTACCCCTATTTTAAATCAGCAACAATTTATTTTTCGACTTAGCACGCAAGGTGAGAAAATGATTGATTCATGTGACATTGCTCGCTTCAAATTTAGACTATAAGAATCACTTGTGTACATTACACATTACAAGTGGTAATTTGCATGAGTTGAAAGCCAGTCGAGCATCGTTAAGAAAACAAAGATTACCATGCGCACTCAGGCATGACAAGCAGAGTAGGCGGTTTTCAAATTCCCTGGGTTTGTCTGCAAGCATTTCCTTCCTTTCTTCCCCACCCCCTCCCCGCTTACTCGGGCCATTTTTCGCGCGGTCTTTGTTGCGCGGTCTTTGACTCTCGAAACAGCACGGAAACGCTTGCTACGCAGGATACAAAGAATTACACACTTTTGTTATCGCCCAGCAATCCGACTGAAGCAGGAAAATTTCTCATGCAATGACAAGACAAATTACACAAGAAGACATAAATTTATTACTCACCAAAACAACTGCTGCCAGGTCTTCTCAAGAAGCCGTAATGACCAGCCATTGTTCGTAAATGAATATAAGGTTAACGTAGGAGGACAGTCGTCTTCGCTGGAAAACAAGTTTTCTGGATTTCGCCGAGCAAAACATAAACATCTTTACAGCAAATCCAAACCAATCCAAACCATACTCCACGACTTCTTACGAACATGTGAGTATTTTCACTTTAGGTGGACTTTAAGACTCTTTTACCTTTGTTTCTTTTTAGTTTTCATTGATCGTTAACGAATAAACAACTCAATAAATAAGCAAATTTTCTTTCTCAGTTTTACAGAAAGACTTTTCATTCAAACTAGACCATTGTGGCGTGTTTGTAATCAGCCAATAGACTGAAGCGTTTGTTATTGTGTCTCGCGTTACGAGAATTTTTAGTTAATCGAAATGCAACCTTTTTTGGCAGCTATGTTATAAAAGAATTTGCTCATGCTTTTAGCTGTGCGTATATCGAGTTATGGATGCACTTGGGAAGTTTGGGGAGCACCCAAAAAGTCTTCCGTGCTCTCCAAACTTCCCGGGTGCATCCATAACTCGATATACGCACTCTAAGCATGAACAAATTAAAAGCTTAGATTAATTGTGATGTCCACAAATTTGGAATATAGAGTTAGAGAAAGTAGGCGGCAGGCCAGCGCAGCTCAACGAGGAAAAGGGCGACAGAGATCTAGAGCAAGAGACAAAGAAACAAAGAAGACATTTTTTCCTTGGAAGAACAACATGAAAATATTGTAGCGGAGGTGAGAAGATGAGAAACGCTAGCGGCCACCAATGGAAGGTGAAAATGAGCGGCAGTGAAAAAACAAAAGAAGTGAACGAGAACACGTATGACAACGTGTAACTAAGACCCTGTTTACATGGAGTGGGGGACCCCGGTTTAGTGGGGTAAGTTTCGTTTGTTTTGTGTCCACCAGAGCTTGAAAACAAAAAAAACCAAACCAACTAGACCGGGTTCCCCCACTCCATGTAAATAGGCCCTTAAGACCCTGTTTACATGGAGTAGGGGACCCTGGTCTAGTGGGGTAGGATTCTTTTGTTTTGTGTCCTCCAGAGCGTGAAAACAAAAGAAACCAACCCCACTAGACCGGGGTCCCCCACTCCATGTAAACAGGTCCTAGGAAGGTTTTAGAAGTTTCACGTTGTAGTCGTGCAAAACAACGGCAAAGAAATGTACAGAAAAATTGTGCTGCACGTGCAAAGTTGCTTTTTTGCTAATTGCACAAATTGTTGTGTTTTCACCGTTCTCCGGCGTTGCCTTCGCCGCTTAGCATTACACCATTTTATATTTGGTTTGAACTATAAATATTATCGAGCGCTTCGCTTTTAGCCGTGGCTAAATCTATCCGTCTTGGAAAAAGACAGTACCTTCTTGATAACAACCAGCTGTCCGTCAGCGGACTGATAATTTTTATACGAGGAGGCTCCGCCCTGAAGTCAAACGCCTTAACCTTTTATTATCACATGTACTATTTTTGACAGAGAAGGTACCCCTTTCGTATACCCTTCTACTGACAAATGGTACCCCTTTCACATAGCTAGTTTAGGACGCTACATTGCTTTGAACTGCTGCAAATGTACTGTCCTTAAAGAGACAGATTCACGGTTCAGCGCATGCTCATTTATCAAAATGCTGTTTTTCTGCCGAGACATGCTGTATCGTCTGTGCAAGCAATATGGTCATGTCATTTTGTTGTCAAAGAACCAATCTGCACTCTCCCCTGGTAGTCACTTGCACTTGATCAACTTAAGTATTCGCAAATAGCTGTAAATTAATCAACCATGGAATAAAACAATCGGGTCAACAATAAATTCAACGTTATTAGTGTTGGCATAATCCACTATTTTTTCCGGCGATTTTAGTACTCCTCCATCCTACTTCAGGTTCCTCTGAATACAATTCTGCACCGGAACATGTAGTTTGCTTGGGCGAGTGGTGTTTTTCTGAAGTGAACAATAGCCGTCGAGCAAATGTATTTCCAGCAGGGGTGGCTAACTTCGGTAAAGCTATGTATCGGTCCCTAGAAAGGTCAAGCCAGGACACCCGGGATGGATTTTTTTTGTACAGTGCCCACGCCTCATTTTCTTGGCCGCGCGTTGATCTGGCCCGGCTACTTCGGCGAACATATTCTCGGCCTTTTTGGATTACATCCTTCGAGTTTGTCAAAGTCTGCGGGATTCGCTTTTCTATCTGGGAAAGCTTTATTGGTTTCTATATCTGCTGCTATCCTATTATTACAATCCTGGCATGTTTATTTTCTGTCGTAGTTCGGATTTCGTGGAAAAAGTTGCAGTTGAATGAGCGCATGGCGGCGAAGATGGCATCTCGTGTCTCCTACCTTGTATATTATTATTGTATATACAGTGAATTTGAACAAATTATCACGAAACTTCGTTGGAGCATTAAGGACAACAACAACTAACTGCAGAGTGAGTTTCATTGATCTTTATTTAGTATTTCGTAGAAATTTTAGGATCGTACTTTTACCCCATACAAACACTGTAATTTTACTGGAACCGTACTGTGGTACTATCACTATCGTGTGCCTAAACGGTATATACGTTTTTGTGGTTTGTTTTTGGGTATGGTATTTCATTGCATGATACCAAGAGACTGGAATGTTTGAAATTAATTCTAAACTTCTATGGACAAATTTTGTTTCTTCACCAAGCTATCTCCATAAGCACGAATGAAATTGTGCAGCTTTTTCTTTTACAACATTTAAGAGTTAAAATGGGTCTGCATGGGGGTATTGGAATCGCCGTTGGTTTTTCTCACCCGTATCAATAATTTTTTTGGTCAAGTCTCAGCACTCAGTTAAAAATCCCTCTATTCTCTGCTGACAGTATAAATGTTGACGAATTCGCAGCTATCAGTTTATGTCCTTCACTGGGCCACTTGTAAAAGGTCTTATTCATAGAACAGAGTCTTTTTTGCTCAAAATGAAACTCGTTACAGAATTTGACCAACTGACATTCGAGCCGCTATATTATTACAGTTCCTGCGTAGGGCTCTTTATTTGAGTCTAGTAATTTAGCAGACAAAAGAGGAAAGGTACAAACCAAATTGAGCTGTTCTCAGAGGCTTGCAAAAGAGACTTTGGTATCGTCTGTTACCCGATACTTAGCCAATTTGCCTTCAAGAAAAGAATATTAAATCTTGGATACGGCCTACAATACCTAACGGCGTTCATGCGCTAAACTCGCTTAGCAGCACTTTATCATCCTGCGAAAAGCGTTTCTGAAGTCCTCATTTCTCCATCCATAGATAAGAGGATTGCATGCAGCGTTCAAAAACATGGCTACCTTATAAACGATATGCTGAAGTAACTTTTGATGGAGGTGGCCTGCGAGTAATTTGCCCCAGAAAACTCGGAGGGATGTCACAACAAGGATAGGAATGATACTGAGCAGACACAGCGCCACAACAATGACGAGAGTTCGGGCGCCTTTCATTTCGTGCTTGACCGTTGGCATTCCTGGAGAGTCGCGGCCCTGTTTTCTGACACGTTGTCTCTGCTTGTAGGACACTATGAAGATGTAGGTGTACGAGCATATAATGATCAACAGGGGAACAAGAAACATTGACGCAGCTGTGAATACAAGATGCCATCTGATGTGGAGCTCTTGGGCTTTATCACTATCTGGATGCATCCCTATGAGAAATTCTCTGTAATCTTTGTGGCCTGTTGTCCCATAAAGCGTCCATGGAAGAGCAATAACAATGACCAGAGCCCACAGCCACATCGCGATGGAAACGATCCGTGCTCGGCGTTTGGTCACTATGGCTTGGTATCGTAAGGCGAACCTGATGGCGATGAAACGTTCTGAGCTCATTAAAGTAAGATGAAGAATAATGACCGAAAGGAGGAACAAGGTGACAGTTCCTCTTACTTCTCTAAGAATACGCGAACAATGCCCAACATTATACTTAAGGCACAAATGAATGATATCAAGAATCATGGGAATCGCTAGTAAGCCGTCGGCGATAGACAAACTCACCAAAATGTTGCTGGAAGCAGTTCGCAAGTTGCGAAATTTGTGAAACGCTCTTAGCACGAAATAGCTGCCGAGGACGGCAGCGACTGTGATAATCCCACAAACGCTCAACTTTAGAATGATAATTTTCCACTTCGGATCGCCAGTCGTGCAATTCTTTGATATTTGATTCATTGCGGGAGGAAAATTGTGACACCTATGTTATCTATCGTTTTAGGAACACTTACTCATACCACTGTTGTTCCGTTTCTTATCATAATCAAACTATATAAATATTCAGTGGTCAGCCATGGCCAGATGAACTCAACTCTGTATATGATCAAAAGATATTAGATAACGATAACAACTATTGATGATGTTCCTTTTGTTTTAATAGCGTCAAAACAAAATACGACGCATCTGCAATAAAGGTAGAATTAAACCATTTCTATTAACCAAAAACCAAATAAACGTGATTGTCCAAAAAATATACAGGTTAATGTTGGGTAACTGTCTTAATTACTGCCTTCTACAACGTCAAACTCTAAATGTCGTCACAACTTCATTGAGAATCCATTAAGAAAGTAAATAGGATGTCAAAATTGCATAGAATAGAGTTAAGCAAATAAAACTACTTATCACGCATTTTGTTCTTAATTTATATTTAACAACTGACTGCGTTCAACTGTGAAATGAATTTGTACAGTCAAATAATTCATAAAAAAGAACCTTATATTTGGCCTAGAAAGAAAAACAAAAGAAGAACTGAGGCACTCTTAATAAAAAGTAGTTGTAACAGTAGGCTTTGAAAGTTTCATAAACTAGTAAGTGCGTCTTATCGAGTTTAAAATACAAGGAACAGCCGAACACGTACGAAGTGCGAGCTTATTAACAGATGTAAAAACCTCTCCTAAATATTCCTTTGAATTAATATTATTATTACTATTATTACTAATTACTATTATTATTATTATTTATTATTATTATTATTATTATTAACAATTTCATGGGTCAAGGCGAAAGTGTCCTTTGCAATTTTGCGGAGCGCGATCCTGTGCCTGAGGGGATCGAGAACCCCGAGAAGGAGGAACTTAGATGTTAAGGACAGGGATCTAGAAATAGAGAAGGGTCAAGCAGGACTTCCCTAGACTCAACAGCTATAGATACTTTATTATTGGGATGTACATAGAAATTTTCATTTTTTAGTGTTTAGATAGTTGTTTACATTTGTGTTGTTGAAAACCACCAGACCAGCAAGAAGTCTTTTTTAACTACAGTTATACTAAATTTATATTTAATTTTCAATTTGAGAAGAGTTTAATCAAATTATTATTATTATTATTAAAAAATTTATTATTATTATTATTACTATTATTATTATTATTATTATTATTATTATTATTATTATTATTATTTAAGGGACCATCAAGTCCGTTTATTAATATCAACATCAGAACCGGCTTCACGCGTAAAAAATGAATGGGTCCTGTTTCTTTGCGACTGTGGATAAGTTTCGGCTCAAAATAACCGTTTTCAATTCTAATATGCCCTGTATGGAAAAGAGGATCAAAGTGAAGGCGCCATTGTCAGCTGAACAGAAATTGTCTTTGTTCAAGGAAGTAGACGCACTGGCTCGACACCTTCGTTTTTGAGCCATTAATCAAGCGACTAGGAAACGTCAGTTTTCATTTCTAACTTTGTGATGCTGTGTTATTAAAAATTAATTGAAAAGCGTAAACCACTATGTAGGAAAATAATGAATACATTGAATTCATACTTGCTGGAGACATTTATAACAAATTAAACTTATTGAAGAGCGAAAGAAGTTTGGAGCGGAATAGAGACAATGAAGAACGCCCATATTTCTACAGGTGTTCATGTAAAGAAAAGAGGCGACCAAACGGGAAAAATTGGCAAACACCCAAATATGGCTGCAAAACTTAGTTTGTCACTTTTCTTTTTCGAATTTCAGAACCCACGGGCAGTTCCTTTAATAAGGAAATTTTACAGAGACTTCATACAAAAATAGGACTCTTAAAATTTGCCTGTCTCTTATAATTTGTTTTATTTACCACCTAAATGCACTGTACATCACCAAGGATTGTATCATGGCTTATAACTGAAAGTAAAACAAATCAGTGTATACCTTTTATTTTTTTTAATTCATCCATTAGTAGCCAAACTCTAAGGGAAACTAAATTGATAATAGACTGTTGTCTAAAATGTATAAGTGTCTGTGTTTCTTTGGATGAACTACATGGAAAACTAGGTACACAGCGTGGAAAATGTTATTTCGGTTTGCTGGTCTGGGTTTTTAGGACTATGGACATGTTTTGTTAACTTTGTTTTCTTGCTATTTTCATCCAAGGTTGCACTACATGGCATCAACTAATGCTGGTCTATGCCAAGGCAACATGACATGGTGCTTCAAAGTCAGAGGCAACAACTACCATTGGGTCATAGACCTTTACCAAAGGCTGAACCTTCCAGTAATTCCAGCAGCGGTTGAAGCACTCATCAAATGTGTACAGGATCGTGCGGCTGAATTGAATAAACAACAAACAGAAGCAAGGAAGCAACAGCGAATAAGAATGAAAGTAGCCAGAACAGAAGATCAGGAGGCGAGGAAAAAGTGGGTGAAACAGCAGGCATTTAGACACACTTATGGAGGAGATTCAGAAGATGAAGGAGATGATGATGGCCAGCTAGTTTCAGACGTGAATGAAATACTTGGAAACGAAGATGATCTGTTAGTTGTGAGTGGAAGAAAGTGTCGTTGTGGATCGACCCGTCACCAGCGGACATCACATAAAGATTGCCCTTTGAACAAGAAACCTAAAAAGTGACTGTTGCTATAGTCTATGACAACAGGTTTAGTTTCGAAGATAGTAAGCTACTATTAGACCCGGAGGGGGGGTGGAGAGGTACTTGGGTTAATTTTTGGTCGGTATGTGCTGCTGGGCTCTCAGAGCTGCCTACCCCATTATAGAGTACTCTGTGGCCACTTATTGACCCCATTTTAGACACTTTTGAGCAGATATGTAATTTTTGCAATCATGTCTTAGTCATTTTCCATGTGCCTACTTTACATTGAAAGAAGACAGTTAACTTTTCCCCTACAGCAAAAACATTCCAGTATGTTTGTTCACCATAAATAATTATGCGACCCCATCCAGCGGCACATACCCATTAGCCTCTTATAAATTAATATCCCCCCCGGGGGGGGGGGGCTATTGAATAAGGCTATTTATGATCTGAAGAATTATGCAGTTTGAGGATTGCCAAGGTGGATATCACCCTCCCAGATCTGCATAATAATATTCTTCAGGTCAAAGAGAGCCAAATCCAATATCCCCTTCCATGGCAAATACAGGATAAGAGGTATATTTAGTCTAGCAGATATTTTTGAATAGCAGTTGGCATTGTTATTTTTCCTTTTTTTGCCACAAGTTCAGATACTCATTTGGCCTATTCGTCTTGACAAAACCTTTGCAATTTTTTCGCCATTTTCTCCAGCTCTAACAAAGTACTTGTGCAACCACAGCTTCTATCATCCTTTTTTTTCTGAACAAATATACATGTTAAAGCGAAACTTCTAGAACTTAGGGTTTTCCTTGTTTTTTTTTTGTTCGCGTCTACTTGCAATTAGTCGTAATTGTTTATAGTTTTCTTTCGTTATATTGTTTACTTTCTTTCTGGTGTCACCATCGTTGCGTAATGTTACGTAATCTGTCAAGTTTTTTGGTATAAACTTAGTCTTGTCGGTCAGTGTTTTTTACAGTGTTTATCGGTCAAGAACAGCTCATTCCTTTTAACGTTACGTCAAGAAACCGTAAAGGTAAATTTTAGTCATACCCCGTTTGTACGCTTTTCCGTTTTCTTTGATGTATTTGTTGTTTTGTACTGATTTCTACATTTTTCGTAATTTCGTATTCTTTGTATTTTTGGTTGTACAGTACCGTAGGAGTGTGATTTATAAAATAAAGCGGTTGGACACTAATACGCGTGACTTCGGTTACATAGTACTTAACGATCGACTTTGGTAAAAGTTGGCCGCTCTGGTTGGCGACAGATCAAAGGAGTTCCAAGTTGAAATTACCATTAACGATGTCTTCGGTTGGTGAAAGAGACAGCTTGGGACGGACGATTATAGCCTACCGTGGACACATTACGCGGATTATAAATGAATTAGATCCGCTACTCTTGGAGCAAATTTCTTCAAAAGAAGTTGTTGAAAAGCACAGTTCGCTGGTGGGCATATTCGAGAAGCTTAAACGGGCTTGTGCGCAGTGGTATCATTTGTCTGGGGAGCAAGAGGATAGAGAGCGTATTACTCATGACTACGCCAAGGATGTTTATCGAATGCAGATGTTTGAAAACAAATACAAGGAATGGTTAAACGATGTTTACACCCCAATAAGTCGAGGAGTTGACGGTGAAGGAACTGCGAATATTTCTGGGTTTGATTTGAGCTCCAAAACGCCTGTTGTACGATTAGAGGGTGCCTTTCAAGGAACTCAGAATACAAATCCTTCAGTTTCCCGCGCGGGCGCGCTAGTGATTTGTTGGAAACGAAAACACCTAATGCGACTCAAAATCATGCAAGTGGCGGCGATAAGACGCTAGGTCAATTACACCCAAGGAAAAAGAGTTCTAAAGGAGGGAGTCAGTTATCGGCACGGAATGTCAAGTGTACAATTGCTCAGCTTAAAGTGAAAAGGCTTCTGGCTGAACAAGAGATAAAGGAAAGTGAAATTGCGTTACGACTACAAGAAGAAAACACGCGTTTGTCAGCCGAGAAGGAACGTTTGAACATTCGAAGCGAATTAATGTTAGCCACGATTGACGCAGAACAGGCTGAGATTGAAGCCAAACTGGGGAGCAGGTTGATTTTGACTCTGTTTTTCTTCCGAAGGATCAGTTAGAGGTCACGAGAACGTGAGGAAATATTTGGAAGGATTGTCACTTTCCGCCGTTCCTAGTCAACCGGATGTTGAGAAATGCGTTTTACCGGAAACCAAACCGCACGCTTTACAGGAAGTGAAAGCTGACATACCGGAAGCGAAGAATGTTACTGGAAATAGCCCTGACGAAACAACGGTTAAATTTCAAAGGATTATGGTGCAACAGCAGATGTCTATCGATAAAGTTGTTCTTGGACTTGAGAAGTTGGACATGCCAAAGCGGGAATTCTTGTACTTTGATGGCGATCCTTCAAGGTACCCCAGATTTATTAAGAATTTTGAGCTAAACGTGGAATCTTCGATTACAGATGACAATGTAAGGCTATCTTATCTGATCCAGTATTGCACTGGCAAAGCTAAGGACGCAATTGAAAACTGTGTAATTCTGCCAGGGCCTGAAGGATACAAAGCTGCTCGTGAAATTCTTAGAAAGAATTTTGGACAACGTCATGTCATCATCCGATCGTTCATCGATAAAGTTGTCAAAGGACCACAGCTAAAATCTTCTGATGGAGAGAAACTCTTACAGCTCGCAAGGGACATGCGAATCTGTTTACTGAATTCTGCGGAATTAAGCTATCAAGCCGATATAAACTCTTTGGACACTCTGAAGAAGATCGTTATGCGTCTTCCTGTGCACATGCAGGCAAAATGGACGGATGAGTCGGGGAAGATTTTGGAAATGGGTTCTGAACCAACCTTCTCTCATTTGGCAGACTTTTCGAAAAAAAGGGCTCTGATAGCAAACACTGAGTTCGGGAAGTTAGTTGGATTCAGGCTTGGAGAGTCAAGAGTCACAAAACAACCAAGAAAAGCAGCTGATGGTGATGGTACTGTGCTTGCTTTGACTCAAGTTGAGAAGGATGTTAGTAACCAAGCTAATACAGCCAACAGCAAACGCTCAAATTAGAGGTCAGCAACGGATGGTCAAGTCAAATGCAAGTTTTGCGATGGAAGACATGAATTGGAGAAGTGTTTTAAGTTCCGGTACAAACGATATATTCAAAGGAAGGACTTTGTTAGGAAACAAAATCTGTGTGAAAATTGTTTGAAGCCTAATCACATCGCTAGACGATGCAGGAGTCTTGATGCTCGCTTGCTGAGTGACTGTAGAGAAAGGCACCATTCCTTGCTGCACCCACCTAGTTCATTGAGCGCTCCCATAACCTCAAATGAGACTTCAAGAACGCGAGGTGATTCTGAAGATCCTGTTACCGGGCCAACAGCGACTCGTGAAGATCTGGCTGAAGCACGTCCACACCACATCGAGGCCGGGGCGGATTATGCGACAAATGCCAGAAAAAAAAAGAATTAGTTTGAGGATTGTGCCCGTCCGAGTTTCTGCTAAAGGTGGACGAGAAGTGGAGACATATGTTTTCATTGATGATAGTTCTGACACCACCTTGTGTCTACGACGCCTTCTGGATGAGTTTGGAGTAAGAGGTTCTCCAACGTCTTTTTCTTTAACTACCATTAATGCCGAGAGAACCAAACTGTCTGGAGAAGAAGTTAGTCTTACTGTGAGAGCATTGTCGTCAGATAAATGCATACAACTAGATCGTGTGTGGACTGTTGACAAGTTACCTGTCTCAAAGAAAAGCATACCCAGTACCGAAGATATCCGCGATTGGCCGCATCTGCAGGGTATAAGTATACCTAAGCTCGATAAAGAGGTATCCATCTTAATCGGCAATCATGTTCCCGAGGCGCACTGGGTCTTTGAAGAGCGCCGTGGTCGCCGTAAACAGCCTCGCGCTGCACGGACATTACTTGGTTGGACACTTATCGGACCAGTTGGCGGTTCAAGCAACCCTGAAGCGACCGTCAGTTTCTTAAGTGGAGGTCAAGAAACGCTGTCAGCACAAATTGAGCGGATGTACAACGCGGAGTTCGGCGAATCGTCTGCGTCATCTAAAGAAATGATGTCGATTGAAGATAGAAGAGCCCTGGCAATAATGGAACGAACCGTTCAGATGGTCGATGGCCATTATCAGCTCTCCCTTCCTTGGAAGTATGATAATCCGTGCCTACCGAATAACAGACCTATGGCGAAAAAAAAGACTAAATCTTCTGAAAAGACGTTTGGAAAAGAACAAAGATCTCCAAGAGAAGTACAAGGATGCTGTTGAAGATTACATTGCACAAGGTCAAGCGAGGAAAGTATCTCTACATCAAGTGCCACGTTCTGTCTGGTATCTTCCCCACCATCCTGTGATTCACCCGCAGAAACCTGAGAAGACCAGAGTTGTGTTCGATTGCGCCGCTAAATTTCGCAATACGTCACTCAACGAACAGCTGTTTCAAGGGCCAGATTTAACCAATAATCTCGTGGGAGCACTACTTCGTTTTCGTCAAGAGCAAATAGGTCTTACGGCCGACATAGAGAAGATGTTCCATGAAGTGAGAGTGTGTCCTCAAGACACTTGTGCTCTGTCATTTTTGTGGTGGCCTGGTGGCGATCTTTCTAAAGAAGCAGAAGACCATGAGATGCTTGTTCACCTCTTTGGAGCTAAATCATCTCCTAGTTGTGCAAGTTTTGCATTAAAGAAAACCGCAGAAGACAACAAAACGGACTTCGATGTGGTGACCATCGATACGGTTAATAGGAACTTCTACGTTGATGACTGTGTTAAATCAGTCGCAACAACTGAAGAGGCGGTACGATTAGTTGAGCAGCTGCCAGAATTGTTGAGTAGGGAAGGCTTCCGCTTAACAAAGTGGATCAGTAATGGTCGAGAAATCTTGTCCTCAGTGGCTAAGGAAGACCTAGCACCGTCAGTGAAGAACCTTAACCTAGACTTAGAAGATTTACCGTTAGATCGCGCCCTTGGTATGCAGTGGGACACGGAAGAAGACACCTTTGGGTTTAGGACCATTCCGAA